AAAACAGACGAGCCGACCATCTGCCCGCACTGCACAGGTATGACCATCACCAGATGACACTGCCAAAACTGGTCCCGCATCTGCTGGCACATCACACTGCCCCCAGGCATTGGCTCCGAAACAGATGAGCCGACCATCTGTTCGCACTGCACAAGTATGACCATCACCAGCTGAGACTGCCAAAACTGGTCCCACATCTGCTGGCACCTCACACTGCCCATGTTCATTGTCTCCAAAACAGATGACCCGACCATTTGCCTGCACTGCACAGGTATGACGGAGGCCCGCTGAGACTGCCAAAACTGGTCCCACCTCTGCTGGCACGTCACATTGCCCATATTTATCCCATCCCAGACAGATGAGCCGACCATCTGCCCCCACTGCACAAGTGTGAGAATTGCCAGCTGAGACTGCCAAAATTGGTCCCAACTCTGATGGGCACCGCCTATTTCGCTCGAGTGCACTGCAGGCTATCAAACCGTCTTTCCTCACGACGGACTTCCAAGAGTATGGTGCAAATGTGGGAATCCGAGCCCACCTGTGCATGTTTCCGGACAAGCATCCATCACGTTGCAGCTTTGGCAACGCGAAATGCGATTGACCCAGCACGGGAATGCGCCTGTGCCCAGCGAGGGCTGGAAGAAACGCCTGCATTGCCATGCTGGATGTCCAGGAGACTATGGCAAGTGCGAGGCCAGCTTTCATAATGGCTGAGATATGCATACAGGGAGGAATCGTCCGGAGACGGCACGTGTGATTCGGAAATACGACCATCTGGACCAGCAGGCTAGATGCTTTGAGCAAAGACAGGAAACCATAGAATGTTGGACTGGAACGTCCCGACAAGTGCGATGTAGGTATAGCTCCCAAGACATGTGCCTTCATTAACGTTGCAACCTTGTCCCTAAACGTTATTCCTGTTATCTTAAAAGTCTTAGAATAGACCATTTCCAGTTTCTCCAGATAGGGGTTTCGGGTTGTGTGCTATCTGTTGTCTATCGGGCGGGGCATGCTATGGGTTTCAGTATGCTATTTTCTATGAGGTTGTAGCGTGGTTCCATAGTATGATTTTCATTATTTGGGTCTTACCATGGGTAGTTTGGTCAGTTGAAGGTTGAGGTATAGGTTGTTATCGTTTGGGTGCTAGGGGGTGGTGCATGGTTAGAAACTGGAAAGGGTCACTGCTGAATCTATGTAGGGCCTTAGTTAGGGGCTCTAGTACCCTATATAGTAGGTACCTGGGGGGGTTAGGGGACTGTAGTGGCCTGAACCAACCCGCAGGCTCCATGTACCTATAATGTACCTATATGGTTTAGGGCTTAGGTATATATATATATATATATATATAAGTGTATATATATATATATATCGCATACGCTTAGGCATTAACCTAATCCCTATAGAGGACATATTGGTACATGGAGCCTTTGGGCAATAGACGCCCTAAAGCCGATAAACCCTGAAGACCTAACGCTCTAAACCAGCAAACCCTGAAGCCATGAGCCCTAAACCCCGAAAGCTTAAGCCTCAAGCCCTAAACCCAAAACCCAAAACCCTAAACCCTAAACCCGAAACCCGAAACCCTAAACCCTAAACCCTAATATAGAGGACTACCCAGATGAGGCCGGAGGATCCCTGGGTTGTTGGGCGTACAGCCGCAGGGCTTAAGGTTTCGGGGTTTAGGGTTTAGGGTTTAGGGGTTTAGGGTTTAGGGTTTAGGGTTTAGGGTTTAGGGGTTTAGGGTTTAGGGTTTAGGCTTTAGTGCTTTAGGGTTTTGGGGTTCGGGTGTGAGGGTTTAGGGTTTTAGGGTTCAGGGCTTTAGGGTATTAGGGCTTAGGGGTTTGAGGGTTTAGAGGTTTAGGGTTTAGTCTTCGATGGACCTTCCAAACAAGAAGCCGCAACTCCGAAATCCTAATCTCCCAACCCTATATCCCTCTTAACCCAAACTCAACATGGCTGTTTCGGAGAACAACCAAACCGTGATTACACTGCCCCCACATGGGATCCCTAGCGTCAAGTTTAGGGTTTAGGGTTTAGCGTTTAGGGTTTAGGGTTTAGGGTTTAAGGTTTAGGGTTCATGCCCCAAAACTGCGTGAAAAGGCTCTGCAATTGCCACTGCGGCAGTTCCGCCAGCCTCAGTTATCCAGGGCGTGGGATTCTCAGGACGAAAATAGGGGCCTCAATGATTAGAATAGGATTTCAGGGCCCATTAAACAAAATTTATACGAAGGAACCCCCAAAACAGTATGGGTAGTTATTTAGGCCCCTACATTAAACCTGACGGGCTTCCGGAATTCCACTAGTTCTGCGGGTTCAGGCATTAAGGCCAACAGTCTCGACCATATGACCACTCCTCTTACCAATCTCAACCGTGATGGCGAGTCTAGCGACTAGGTCATCTTGACCCCTAAACCCTAAACCCTAATATGATCATACCAAGCATCATTACTCCGAGCGGCTTTGTCGCCGCCTTCTTTGTGTCTTACATGCAACCACAGCCTCCACCCCAAGCCCCCTGACCGCATGAAGTCCACAGCCACACATCCTCGTAATATAGGTGCCTCAGTCATTAGAATAGGGTTTTGGGGATTAGGGTTTATAGGGCTTTCGGGGTTAATGGTTTAGGGTTTCTTGTAAACAGGAACCCCGAAGAACCATTTTCCTAACTAGTCGGGCTACCATATTAAATCTTACCTGTAGTCTCCGTTGTAGCTCCTTTTCTTGGTTCAATTTTTCGGTTGATGATATGAATCCTGCACTACCCGCAAGGAGTATACCATAACTCCCATAGTTTAAGGGTCCTTAAGGTACTGCAGGATTTATATCATGAATAAACAGTATTGAACGAGGAGCAAAACCCCCAACTCTGAAAGCCTAAACCCGTCCCCAAACCCAAAACATATTAAGCCCTAAACCCCTACTATAGGGGCCTCAATAAATACCCACACATTTTGGGGGGCTTTCTAATTATAACTACAGTATAAAGGATCCCAAAAGCCTATTCTAACGGTTTAGGGTTTAGGGTTTAGGGTTACCCTGAAAACCTTCACTCCGAAACCCAAGAAACGTCTCAAGTCTGAAAGCCTGCAAGGGGCAGTGCCAAAGCAGTCGGCCAGTTGCCCGCCTGCGGTTCAGGGTTGAGGGTTCAGGGTTTGTACTCAGGGGGTGGGGCGGGGGCTTCCTGGAATTCGGGGTCTCTTTTCGGGTCCCCTTCGCATTGGCATCCTACTACTTCTAGGGCCTTCATTCTACTGCGTACTAAATGAAACTCCGAATATAGGTTGAAGCATCAACAGGTGATTACCGAAGCAAACGCGCTGACAGTTGTAGAGGTAATGCCTGTGCCTGTGCTATATAGCTAACTTTATGAGCGCGCCTTGTTGCAAGCGGCCATGACTGAATTCACAGTGTCGCTCTGGTACGGCACCCGCTGCCTGTCCGTAGCGAGATGACCAACATGCCGTACAAGTCGCCTTTACGTTATAGTTGCATATGACACATGAAATACAACATGTATATATATATATATATTCTATAAATTCAATATATATATATATATATATAGCATATCATAAAGAAATGTGTGTATATATAGCACAGACAAAAGGGTTTAAGGCTACAGTAAGGGTTTAGAGTTTAGGGAGTTTGGGGTTCAGGGTAGGGCTCGGGGTTTAGAGGGCCAGGGGTTCGAAGCTCAACACCTGGGCTTTCAAAGGGACTCTCTTTGGGGTTTAGGGTTTAGGGTTTAGGGTTTAGGGTTTAGGGTTTAGGGTTTGGGGTTTGGGGTTTAGGGTTTAGGGTTTATAGGGTTTAGGGACTCTCTTTGGGGTTTGTGTAGACAGGATAGGAGGGGATTGGGGTTCAAAGGGCTACCTGATCCTACCCCGAAACCTACCTCTTTTGTAGGGTCCCTACAAAAAGGGCCAGATTGTGTTTTAGAGTAACCCTAAACCCTAAACCCTAAACCCCTAAGCCCTGAACCCTAAACCCTAAACCCCCTACAAAAAAGGTAGGTTGTGGTAGTTTAAGGCCAGGCATGCTAGGGCGTTCCGGGCTCAGGGCGTGGGGTTTTGGCCTTGGGCCGAGGTTTCCGGGCCATTTGCGCCCCCCTAAGGGTCCAAAATAATCGAATAATAGGGCTTTAAGTGCCAAAAACCACTCAGAGTATGGAATGTGGGACCTGAAACCCTACTATTTGGGCACTTGGACCCTTCAAGTATGAAGTTTCTGGGAAGCTCCGACGTTGCGGCGCCGATGCGGCTATTTCGCGCCCATATGTGGGAACTTCTGAAGCAGCTACGCTCAAGACACTGGCAACCTGCACCCCGAATCACAGCGGGTTTAGGGTTTAGGGTTTTTTTTTAATGCAATGGCTCTTTCTCTCCGCACGAACGAGCCCGGGTTTAGGGTTTAGGGTTTAGGCATTGCCTAAACCCTAAACCCTAAACCCTAAACCCTAAACCCTAAACCCTAAACCTTAAACGCTACACTAAGCGTGAACTCGCTCGCACTCTCAACCCTGAAGCCCCTTACACCTTAAAATCCGGCTCCTAAACCCCGGACTCGGGTTTAGGGTTTAGGGTTTAGGGTTTAGGGTTTAGGGTTTAGGGTTTAGGGTTTAGGGTTTAGGGTTTAGGAGATACTGCCCTAAACCCTAAACCCTAAACCGCAAACAAGCCTTAAGGCATGGTATACCCGAACACTCTGAAACGAACCTCCACCCCTCGAACCTAAAAGCCAAGACTCTTTTCTTTATTTGGGGATTTCCGAATATAGGGGACCCCAACATAGTACCCTAACTAGTAGGATCCTCAATATAAGGACCCCAAAATAAGGTACCCCTCATTTTCGGAGACTCCCATTTCGACAGAGGACCTCTGAATCCTGATTCCCCAAAGCCGCAAGCAAGCCCTAAAGAATCTTAAAAGCCACCCACTAAGGCCGGAGATTACCCTATAGGGCCCTAGCCCTATAAACCCCAAACCCCAAACCCTACACTCCTAAATCCCAAACCATAGGGTTTAGGGTTTCGGGTTTAGGACACAAAAGCAGGCACAGAGAAACACAAACTGAGGCCGCGCCTTGACATGCCGTGAAGGAAACCCAGCGCTTCGCTCCACAACGCCGACTTAGCCTCTTGCACAGGTTTTTGGGTTTACGGCGTAGGGAAAGGAGTGTCGGGTGTGGCGGCTATGGGGTTTAGGGTTTATATAAATAATTACCTATACTACTTTGGGGGCTCCATATTATAGTTATAGTATAATGGGCCCTCAGAACCCTGTTCCAATTATTAAGTACTGTTGATGGACAAAATTCTACATGACCCAAATACAGTATAGTACCATAAATCAAATAGTTTAGTTATATAAAGGTCATGCAGGATTTTTGTCCATCAACCGTATTATAAGCTTTACGGCGATTATGGGCTCAGGGCGTAAGGCCTAGGGTTTCGGGTTTAGGACTTGGGGGGTTTAGGGTTTAGGGTTTAGGGTTTAGGGTTTAGGAGTAGGTACTAGGGATTCGGGGTTTGGGGGAGTTAAGGCGTACGGGCCATGGGGTTAAGGACTTTCAGGGTTAAGGGTTTAGGTCGTAAAGGTTCAGGGTCGAAGGCTTCATTCAGCGCCTTAATAATTAGAATAGGGTTTTGGGGTCCTTTATAGTATAGTTATGGCAAGGAGCCCCCAAAACAATATAGGTAATTATTGAGGCCCCTACATTGCCGGCACAGGGTTGAAACTTTGAGATTGTTTCGTTCAGGGTCTTCTCGAGTTTAAAGAGTCTCAGGATTCGGGAGCTACGGTTTTGTTCCGGGCGCTGCCGGACATGCATATTTGGGATTTAGATGTGTGGCGTTTGTGTATGGGGTACTCGTCCCTTAGTTTGGGCTTGATGGCTGCGGGTCCCGGGCACTGCTTTGGACGTTGTCGGCTTGCTTGTGAGCTTCGGCCCACCCACACAGACTTATAACAAGGAAGAGGAACACCAATAACTGTTGCACTTGCATTTGTTTGTGTGATTAGTTACTTGTACATGTATCTGTTTCTGTACAGTATAGTCGTTTTGTATAGTCAGATAGTTACATAGTGTGTCGAATACGTGAATATATTCTTCGTTTGTTCACTTCATACAAAGTTTCATGCTACACTTACAGGTATGACATAGGCTCGGGGTCTTGGGCTTTGCTTCTGAGGCTCAGTGCTGCATGCGGCGGAAGGGGTTTCAAAATCAAGAGAGACTGCAAAGAGCAAAGCCTTTAGCACTGACCGATGCCCTCCATAGGATGCAAGACCTACCGCCTCTAAGGCGTCCCGAGGCAAGAAACGAAAGCCGAGATGGCGATGTTGTAAGACGTGGTGTCACTCCTCGCCCCGCTTCTGGTTGTTGAATTTGGCGGTTTGAGGTCTAGGGGCAGGGTTGAGAGAAACGACCTCGGGGCTTGCCACCAGCACTACCATGTCAGCTCCTGCTATCTGCTGTTGCTGTGAGAACTCCTACTGATCAAGGTGCGATTACCACCACCCAAGCCCCTTCTTGTGATCCGAAAATGTCCTCAAAATCCAGAAACAGAACCGCCAGTCACATTCCCTACAACCTTCAGCGCCAAGCCAGCTTCCTGCTAACTTCCCGAACCAATACTTTAGGTGGCTTGATGATTAGAATAGGGTTTGGTGTAGATTGCACTATAACTACGTTATATAGGGAGTGCGAAGGCATACATTAATTAGTCTTTCAGAGCCTCCGTTACCCCTCAGAGAACCCTTATTGAACCCGATTCAAATTCCCCTATATACTACACCTCCATGCTACCCCTTATACTAATCCTCATAGAACCCTCTACTCCTAAAGAACCCGAAAAGAATCCTACACTGATCATTAAAGGCCCCGATATATTGCCCCTAAAGCCTAAACCCTATAAACCCTAAACCCTAAACCGTACAATGCAAGGCATCCCACAAAGCTCTTTCCTCTCCTGATCGTCTCTTCCTGCATCGCCTGCAGTGATTGCATCCGAGGCTTGCTACGACGAGCAGAGCCACGGTTTAGGGTTTAGG